ACAAGTGAAACAAGTGAATTTATTTCTGCAAATAGGCTACAAAGCAGCACTTTTACACGTCAATTTTATCAAGCGAACGATGAGGTCGACATTTCCTAACTGACTACTCTGAGAAGAAATGCCGAAACAAACTCAGAGGTCTGTCATCTCTCCAAACATTTCACAGACAAGAAACGTATTGTAATTCCTACACAAATAAAAGAACACATTTTAGATCGAACTTTTCCGAAATAAGGCAAATACATTTATAACCCTTTAACCTCTATCCTTCTTCCTTCGTTATCTGGTAAAAGCTTTAGTAAATTATCGCTTTTATCAAAGTAAAGAGAAATAAATATGAATCTCCAGTATCGATGGAAACTTATTATGTTTCGAGGCACGCGCAGTATTGTATAGCAGGTTATCCATCTTAAATCTTTCGTTCAGTGCATACTGACGCATTATACACTTATCAACACATTTTGTATTAATTACATCAATCATATAGTGTCTGTTAAATGTTTTAATAACAGCTGTTAGTTCGGTTAATAATAGCTATTAATAACATTTATAGCTCCTTAGTGGAGTATCTACTTCATAATATGAGTTTTGAACGGACGAGATTTCATCGATCAAAATTGTTATAAAGATGTATTGAGGTACCTAACAGACAATGCGCTTGAGACCAGAGCAGTATTAGTATTAGGAATTGCTTGAGTTTAGTCACATGTGTAGCTTGACAATATACGGTTTCAATAGTATTATTACCAAAAAAAAAATTACCTTAAAAGTAGACCCAAGCAAGAAGGTAGAATGGAATAGGAGATATTTCAAGATCATTTAGTATTTTGATCAGTGGATATTCATGGATACAAAAAAGAATTTTCACTAAAATGAAAATAATCATCACTTGATGTGTGTAAAACTAATCGTTTTAGCTTTAACGCGATGAGAATTGTCTATTCTTAAATAGACTTGCAAATTGCATTTGATGAAAAGATGACAACTAGTTTTCCACCTCACCATCGATCTTAAATGCAAGTCATAACGTAAACTGCTGTTTAATATTTTATACACATTAGTTTAGTAAATAGAAGCATATTACATAAACATTTGTGCTTCATATACTTGTACTTGAGATGTTAAAATTAATTTTCCCGTACATACACTTCATTGATTGATTGAATGCAAATATTGGATGGAATTTAAAAGAAACTTTTATGCTGTTCAATAATCTGAGCTATAAAAGAAGTTTTGTCGTTGGTTCGAGGTTTGGGGGTTGACAAATCCAAAGAATCACATCTCATTCGGTTTTCGTTTAAAAAATATGGTTTAAAATTCTTTCTCTCCAACTAGAGGGATAGAAAAAGAAATCTTAACTTTACTTATGATCTCACTATACTTAAGTATGTATTTATCTTCAAAAGGAAACTGAATTGAATGCAATGCAATAAAATTATATAACACGATAACATCTTTCCAATAAAGTATCGACTGATAAATAAATTCCAGGATAAAGAAGAAAAAAATGGTTCCAGCGGGAGTGAATAATAAGAAGTGTAGCTTACAATCACTATTAGTATTT